TTTTGGAAGGCACAAATCTTATTTTACATGTTAGGAACGAAGATGAATTACCAAGTAAAGCTTTGTCTTAGCGCCTTCTGTATTTGAAAAATTTTTCTTCAGAAACAGCGTTGCAGGTCGAATTCTCAAAAAGGCGCTCGGTATTTGAATACAACAGCATTTTTGGTTGCGCAGGATACTCGAATGCAGACTTGATCTACCGAAACAATTGATTTGTATTGGAGATGTGGAACAAAACGCAGATGGGAACTTGGAAATGCTGTCCACATTTTTTTCTTGCATGGCTCAAATAATATTCTTGTTTTTGACCGTTGTTTAATCAAAGATTCTTGAAGCGTATATTTTAGATAATGACATATCGCCTCTTCCTATCTAATTACTTCGGGAATATGTCAACACACGCGTTTCGGCGCCGGGCGACAAACGGTCAGAAACTTGCCAGGGGACAACTCACACCTGAAGACCTGCCCTAGGAGCACGAACGCAAAGGTGTCAACTATGGCGCCAGTCACGTTTGGGGTGGAGTCGAGGCATTGTGCATGACCTCGTATAAGTACGTAGTTAGAGAGTTCACTTGCTATCATATCCTTATTTTCTTGGCTCCTTGGAGTGGGCGATTTTTCCATCTCTGATTATGTCTCAATGATATCATATGATAATGTTACTGCTTTGTTTGAAATGACTGTCATATTTTGCAGATGTTTGCTGAGGCACAGTTCAGTCAAGAAGCCTATGCAGAGCATGTCTTCATGAACCAGGTATGTTCACTTATATGGGTTGCAATCTAAAATAGATCATTTTTTGACATCATATTCACAGATGCGCTCAAGAAAACGGCAGCATGGGGAGGACCCTAGCGAAGATGCAAAAAGGATAGATGACAGAAATAAGGAGAACTGTTCCCCAGATATGGCAATGGTAACGTTATCATCGACACTAACTTAATAAATTTCCTTATTTTATCATTTTCACCTCAAAAATTCAGGGTGCGCCGATGTACCACAGCACACCGCTTATGGCAGGTCAGCGCGAGTTCTTCCACTCAAATATGGCAATGGCTCAAGCGCAGGTCAGCTTGAAAGGATGTAATACTCACAGTCATTTTATGTAGCATTTTAGATGCAATTTTACCCTGGCTTTTTTCCTCCGCCTTTTCCATGCCCGGAGCAAAGTTCAATGTCATCAGACAGTGGGATAAATTCAGTAAGTATAGATAGTAAATATTGCCATTTTGCTATGTACATCAAAAACATAAAGAGGTTATGTACATCTATTACAAAGGCTACTATAATTTCCCTAATTCTCCCCTAGATTGAATTATGAATTTTTCAGGACGATTCTGGCCTTCAACAGGAAACCTTGTTTGATAACAGCAAAGGTTTTCCAGCTGGTA